GTGCTATGGTGGTAGTACAGAAACAGAATGGCAAGCCAAAGGTCTGTATTGATCCCAAACCCTTGAACAAAGCACTAAAACGCAGTCACTTCCCACTTCCAACCATCGAGGACATCTTACCAGATTTGTCAAAAGCTAAAGTGTTCACAGTGTGTGATGTCAAGAGTGGATTCTGGCATGTACAGCTGGAGGAGGAGTCCAGCTATTTGACAACGTTTGCCACTCCATTTGGAAGGTACAGATGGCGGAGGATGCCGATGGGGATAAGTCCGGCCCCTGAAATATTCCAGAGAAAGCTGACACAAGCGCTGGATAATGTACCTGGTCTGTACATTATAGCGGATGACATCCTGATCACCGGACAGGGGGAGACACAAGAGGAAGCGGAACGGGATCACGATGAAAAACTGAAACAGTTTCTCGACAGATGCAGGGAAAAGAACATAAAATTGAATGCAGAAAAATTCAGACTGCGACAGAAGGAGACCACATACATTGGACACCGCTTGACGACGGATGGACTCAAAGCGGATCCTGAAAAAGTGCGTGCTATCGGGCAGATGCCAGCACCGACGGATGTAAAAGCAGTGCAGAGGCTGATAGGTATGGTTAATTACCTCACCAAGTTTTGCCCACACCTCTCAGACCAATGCAAGGTATTGAGAGACCTGACACACAAGGACAGTGAGTGGACATGGACAACAGAACATGAGGAGGCATTCCTCAACCTGAAAGAGACAATTGCGAATGCTCCAGTATTGAGATATTACAACCCTGAGGAGGAGCTGACAGTACAGTGTGACGCTTCAGACACAGGTTTGGGCGCAGCACTGATGCAGATGGGGAAGCCAGTCGCTTTCGCAAGCAGGGCACTTACACAAACTGAGGGGCGCTATGCCCAAATAGAAAAAGAGTTTTTAGCAGTGGTTTTCAGCATGGAGAAATTCCACCAATACACATATGGCCGCAAAGTCACAGTGCAGAGTGATCACAAGCCGTTAGAAACCATTGTACGCAAACCCCTGCTGAGTGCACCCAAAAGGCTGCAGAGCATGATGCTGCGCATACAAAAATATGACTTGGATGTCATTTATGTGCCTGGAAGAGACATGTTACTGGCCGACACTCTCAGCAGAGCCTATCTTCCTGAGAGTACACCGGTGGAAGCTGAGCTGGAGACTGTCAACATGGTGCAACACTTACCGATCTCCTCAGACAGACTACATGACATAAGGTCTGCCACAGAAAAAGACACCACATTGCAGCTTCTCATTAAAACAATGAGCCAGAGATGGCCCAAGGACAAATCACAGGTACCGAGTGAAATCAGGCCTTACTTCTCATTACAAGGAGAATTAAGCCACCAAGATGGAATAGTCTTCAGGGGTGAGCGTGCCGTAATTCCTGACAAGCTGAGATCAGACATCACTGGTCGATTACACTCATCGCATCTGGGTGTTGAAGGATGCCTACGTAGAGCTAGAGAGTGTGTCTACTGGCTGGGCATGAACGACCAGATTAAGACGTATATAGCCAAGTGTGATATCTGCAGGTCGATGGACAATAAACAGCAAAAAGAAACATTGATGTCACATGAGGTTCCAAGCAGGCCATGGGCGAAGGTGGGCACAGATCTGTTTGTGTTTGACAACAAGAACTATCTCATCACTGTGGATTATTGGTCGAACTTTTGGGAAATAGACTACCTGATAGATACCAAATCCACCACAGTGATAAAGAAACTGAAAGCTCATTTTGCCCGCCAAGGCATTCCGGATTCAGTGATGTCAGACAACGGCCCGCAATACGCGTCCCAGGACTTCCAAAAATTCTGCGAACTGTGGGGATTTCAGCATGTGACCTCGTCACCTGGCTACCCGCAGAGCAATGGCAAAGCAGAATCAGCTGTCAAGACGGCAAAGAGACTTCTCATGAAAGCCAAAGCAGCTGGACAGGATCCTTATCTTGCAATTCTGGACCACCGCAACACACCGTCACAGGGCCTGGATAGTAGCCCAGCACAGCGACTACTCAGTCGCCGTACCAAAACACTGATGCCAACGAAAGCAACCCTGCTCAGGCCAGAAGTCGTTCAGGTCAGCCAGAAGCTGAAGAACAGGCAGCAACGTCAGGGTACATATTACAACAGATCAGCTAGAGACTTGGACACACTTGCCACGGGTGACTGTGTGAGGATACAGCCACTCCCACCCAACGCTGTCTGGAGACTAGGCAGGGTGCTGAAGCCACTTGATGGGAGGTCCTATGAGGTTCAGTTGCAATCTGGAAGTGTCATTAGGAGAAATCGCAGACACCTCAGGCGTGCACCTGGTGTGACCTTTAGTGACCCTCTCGATATGGAGATCAGCATTCCCAGTCAGCCACAGGCTGTGAGACAGGAACCTGCAGAGTCTGTTCCTGTCCCCCACGGTGTCGCAACAGAACATACACCCAGAGACACTGGTGGCGGAGACACCCCTGTCACGACCAGAGCCGGGCGCACAGTGGTGCAGCCACGGCGATATAAGGACTGTGTGGTATCATGCAGATGAATGCTGATGTTTACATGCACCTGACACGTGAAAAGTGTACAAGCGCAAAAGTTATGGTTTATTTGATATTGTTGTGATCATTTGCACATTTCATGTTCGTAGCGAATGGTTGAGTGTTATCTCACTGTGAAATTGGTGATGCTGTGTTTTTAGTTTGTTATAGGCTATGTTCATCAGTTGCTGAGAGAAGGTTTTATAGATGAGCATATTGAATTGTTTATAATTTAGCAATAGTCAGTGTCAGTATTATAATCGTGCTTGTTGGTCACAGTCAAATGTTGAGATAACAGCTCTAACTCTGAAAAGAGAAAGGATGTAACAATAGGAACTATAAGTAGGAACTATTGTTTAGTTCCGTGAGTCACACGGACTGTTATTGTGAAACACTGCCTTGTAACCAGACCGAGCACGATGGACCGTACACGCGACGTGAGAATGTATTAAAGTTTACAACCCAGTGAGGTGAGACCTGAAGAGTGTCCTCGTGTTTATGATTAAGCACCGCATTATAACAATCGTGCCATTTGTTGTTAAAATATTTCCTCACTACGGCCATAAGAATCTCTCATCTCTTCCCACTGAGATGAAACTCAGTCTGGGTAGCGCGGGTGCGGAATAGGCATGTTCAAAGATAGTTCTTTTATCAAAGTTGCCACTTTGACATGTCTGACTTTGTATTATTAATATTATAAAAAACAATTTCCACAGCTCCCAGCAGTTTGGTGCAGCTTTTATATTGGCATAATGTGACAGAATAGTCAATTCAAAGATTAAAGCAATTTTATCCCACACTAAAAAAATGTCACCACAAATTAACGGTATTTTACTGACAGCAAAGACGCCAGGAATTTACTGTTATTTTACGGTATAATACCGTGAACCAATTTTACTGTGAATTAACTGCAATTTACTGGCAGTCGACGCTAGTAACTGTTTTATTTACAGTGCTGTTACGTTCCCCAGTTTTCTGTGTTTGGTGGCTTTGTTTTGTGCCTTGACAGGTGATTGATTCCAGGAGCAGCAGTCCCCAGACTGGAGATCTGGCCCCACCCACTCGTCAGTGGCTGCACCTGGATTCCTTCCCTCGCAACACATAAAGTGGTGCCATTTTGTTATGAAGCTCTCGCTCGTTGGGTGTGGGTTGTAGAGCAGAGAGTGACTTGGGAGTCTCTGTTAAATCTTGTTCTGTGTGCTTGTGAGAGCGCTCTTCTCATTTGTGTTTAATCCTGTTTTTTTTTTGTCTTTTGTTCCCGGGGAAAAGGGGAAGCACCTTGGGAGTGCGTAGGCAAGCTGTACACCACCCGTAGTCATCCTCCTGTCTAGAAACACTAGGCAAGACCTGGGCAGACCACCCCCTGTATTTGGTTAGTGAGCCTTGCTAGTGCTCAAGCTAGGTTAGGGGGGGGGGGTTTCAGGTCAGATAGGCAAGAGGGACTATTTTGTTTTGTTCATTGTTTTGGTTCCGCCCAGCCCCTTTTCCCAAGCAACCCGTATATATATCTATATATATATATATATATAGATATATATTAATAAACATTCATTTTTACGGGTTATATGTGTTCTGGTCGTCCGTGTACCTACACGCACCACACCTCTTTCCCCATTACCACATTGAGATAACGAGCGGCGGGTCGTTGCGTTCCCTCCTCCACGAGGCGTGCGTAACAAGTGCCCTACTGTAATATACGGTTGTTGTCGTATATTGAATTACAGTTTGTTACCATACGATTACTGTTTCTGTGTTATAAATACCAGAATGTTACCTATTACTTCTAACTATACTTTTCCATTTAATTCCCCGCAAATTAAAGAAAGACAACCAAACTCATTTGGTCATAGTGGTTGGAGTTTATTAGATGCCTTTAAGACAAAAATGTTAGGCATTTGTAAACAAGAACAAAAACCATAAAATATGCCGCATGTATACAATAATAAAAAGATGAATCATGAAATCGTTAGGCACAAGCTAAACTAACTGCAACAATACGCTATGGAACATTTTCAAATGACACTTAGCAACATTACTTGGACAGACGAGGCAATGAGAAACTCCTCCGATGTTGAACTGCACAGACTTTCTGGATAAACTTAGACTACGCGCCTGACGTCACGTTCAGGAGCAGTCGGTCACAATTAACACTCAAATGACTTTTAGGCAATGAACACTTTGAATAATACAAATATTTATAATCTTTACATTCCGGCCACTGAAATGACAGCGAAGGCGGCACATGCGATAGGGAAGGTGTGCTGTGCAGCGCAAGGTCGGCGGTTCAAATCCTATCTGCTAATTTGAATAAAAGTGACAGCTGCATGTATAGCAATGTCCTGTAAGTCAAAGCCATCATCGTATCTCATGAGATACTAGCTCATTATGATGACTTACAGGACTTTTTTTTCAGTGGCTGACATGGGCTTCCATACATTAACCTGCAATAGATGTAGATGGATTGTGATTCACTGCACTTGTATGAGTATTTCCACCACTCCATAAAATATATGTAAGATGCAGTTCAATTACGATAGTCTGCTATTATTGTAATCTACTAATTTTGAATTCCCTCATGACTGACGGCACACAGCTCATGAAGTGAAGGGGTGAGGTTGAAGCCCACAGCTGGTGTCAGATCCAGATCATCCTCTTTAACTCCAGGTGGAGGAGTGAAACGGAAGCGTTGGAGGAGGGAAGTGAAGATGAGGAACAGCTCCATCCTGGCCAGACTTTCTCCAGGACACGCCCAGTGTCCTGTGAGGGAACAGGCTTTAGACAATCTGAAAAGCGTGAATTTGTATTGGTAAAAATCCTTAGCTGAGCTTGCTGACCTGCAGAAAAGGGCATGAAGGCGTCTCTCCTGATGAATTTACCCCCCGTATCCAGGAAGTGGGAAGGGTTAAAAGAGTTTGGGCTCTCCCATTCACTCTCATCATGATGGACAGAAGTAAGAAGAGGAAACACAGTGGTCCCCTGTGAACAGAATCAATCAGCAACATGCATCATTTGCATCTGGGTGTGGATTTTATTTGGCGACTCACTGCTCTGATAAAGAAGCCCTGGAAGGTGACGTCTTGGCTGGTTTTGTGAGGCAGGGAGAGGGGGAAGATGTTGGCCACTCTCTGTGTCTCACGGATGACAGTGTCAGTGTACGGCAGGTTCCTCCTGTCCTCTACTCGGACCTGACGGCTTCCTACCACCCTGCTCAGCTCCTCCTGGACCTGATCTGGATTTAAATCATGTTGGTTCAATATGAGTCTGCCTCAAAGTACAACTTCAACTAAGCTATGAAGAAGTCAGATCAGAACTTCAACTACTATCTTAAGTTTAACTTACCTTGAATTTGAGGATATTTGGCCATGAGCAACAGTCCCCAGCTCAGCTCAGCTCACAAGATGGCAATGTTGCATTGGATTCTGAAAAAGGAAAAAGGGTTACTAGTGTTAAGGTTTCGGAAGGCTCTCGAGGGAGGACTCAATCCTTTGTTCTCGTCCCGGCCGGAAACGAGGACACGAATGAGTCAATTCGTTTAAATTCAAAAATCAAAAGTTATTTAATAACTGAACAACGTAATGGGGATTACAATTACAAAGTGAAATACTAAGCGAACACTGGAATATTTCGCGAAATAGAGAATCCTCTGAGCAAGTCTGAAGTGACTTATCAACGCGGCTGCAGGAGAAATTCTAACAGTCTTTCCCCCGCCATGGTCCTTTGAAAAGTCTTGAGGTGTGTCTTCTTTGGTGCATTTGAATGTCATTGGCCTCTTCTCCAAAGGGTCACCTCCTCCATTGTCCCTTCCACGTCGAGGTGTGAATCTGCAGCTGTAACCTGAAACCTCTCTGTCCTAGCTGTCCCTCACATTCCAATGCACTCAATGTAGATACATTCGGCTTTATGCCTCAATGAGTGAATTTAACAAAACATACATCGTTTAAGTCTTCATCTTATAACTAGTACACTTTCATTACAACAACCCATCATTAATGATCACCGTTCATCACACTTCATCATAAGATCTAAGACAGTTCGTGTGGTTCAATTCTCAAGACATTTGCCTCAGTCGGCTGCCTTACATTAAGTTGTTCATTTATTACCTGACAGGAGAAAAAACTCCCAAAAAACCCTCTTTGGGGATAAAATTGGGAGAAATCCATAAAGAACGTCAATTGGCATCCGTCCCCAGGTTTTAACATCACATTGTGACAGAATGTTAATGTGTACAGTGTTTATATGATTTAAATGACTATGAATTGTGTTTGATTGAAATTGCATTCACTTCATCTAACATGTTAATGTAATAACTAATATCTAACATCACACAAACTATAATTCTAACACTAAACATTATTACACGTACTATAATTTCCTGACTAGGGGTGCACTTCTGGCTTAAATCCCTAACACTAGACACACTGATAAAGGTTTGGAAATGTTCATTGAAAACTGTCAGAAAGCAAGAAACTTGAAATGTAAGCAAGCTAAGAAGTCAATGGAGTTTCAGTAAGAGCTCATGAAATCAAAAGGGAATGCAAATGAAGTGCAATCTAACTTGGTTACATTAATCAACCTCCTGTAATGATGCCAAAAGAAGTCATGAGTCATTGGTGAAGTTACCATTGCCTGAAAATGAACTTGAAAAGCAAAATCACTGGTTTCAACAAAAAATGACAATTTTTGATGGTTTTATACATGATGTAAATGTGTGGTTTTCAGAGGTTGGATGGCATGCGCATACCATTGCTGAAAATATAATCACAGATGACATTGGACCGGATGACAGTATTTCTAATGTGTCAAAACCCAAATCAAGCCACAAATCAAGTTCCTCATCACGTGCATCTTCAACATCCTCTGCTCGCATTAAAGCTCATGCAGAAAAGGCTGCTCTCATGGAACGGGTCGCCGCTCTGCAGAAAATGCATGACCTGGAGGCTCAGGAAGAACAACTGAAAAAGCAGGAAGAACAACTGAAAAGGAAGAAAGAACAACTGGAACTAGAGACTGAACTGGCAGCAACCAATGTAAAAATCAATGTATTTGAATCAAGACATAGCTCAAGAGTGTCAGACGGAATGAACTCTTATTTGGAAAAAGGAACTGTTCAAAGGAAAAGGTCAGTCAAAGAGAATCCACATGCAAACACCTATTTTCCCGATCAAGTGCAACAAAGACTGAATGTGCGGACGGGAACAGAATCTTCTTCCCAGCAACAGGTTGTTCAGCCAAAGGAAAGCGCTGATGGACCATCTGTTAGAGCTCAGGATATGACTCCTCTAACACAACCTGGATATAATGATCATGGCGATATCTATCGCGATATCTATCACATCATTCAGAAGCAAAGTGACATAACCACTCTTCTAGCTCAACACAATCTCTCTTCTACTTTACCACCAAGAGATATTCCCGTTTATGATGGTGATCCCTTATATGGAGTTTTCATCAGGGCATTCGAGAGAGGAGTGGAAAGAAAGACTGATGACTACAGTGACTGCCTGCATTTCCTAGAGCAATATACCAGAGGGTATCCAAAGGATTTAGTCCACAGCTGTCAACATTTGTCTTCGGCTGAGGGCTATAAAAGAGCAAAAGAACTGCTTAAAGAACATTTTGGTAGCTAACATAAGATTGCTACAGCATACATGGACAAAGCATTTGCCTGGCCAGCGATCAAGCCAGAGGACGTGAAAGCATTGCAAGCGTTTACATTATTCCTGAGCGGTTGTTGCAATGCAATGGAACAGCTCACCTATATGGAGGAGTTGAATGTCGCTTCCAGTATGAAGACCATTCTTCTGAAACTGCCTTACAAGCTCAGAGACAAGTGGAGGAATAGGGCACGTCACCTCAAGGAACAACATGGACGTCGAGCTAGTTTCTCTGACTTGGTAGACTTCATGGAGAGACAAGTGAAGACATTGTCGGATCCACTTTTTGGGAACATCCAGGATGCTAAGACAACTACATCCGTCAAAACCTATGTCACAGCAAGAGAGAGGCCGAGACTAAGAGGAAGCAGTTTTGCAACTACTGCAACACCTGTGGAAATGCCAATACAAGAAAAAATGACAAGTGGAATGAAAAATGTATCCGTCACCAACCCTCAAAATTCCTGTTTGTTCTGTGAGAGAGATGGTCACGCGTTGGTGCTGTTTCCACAAATCAGGAAAAAGATGCACAGGGAAAAAATTGACTTCTTAAAGAAAAGGGGAGTCTGTTTTGGCTGTTTGAAGGTAGGACACATGAGCAAAGACTGCGATAGTCGTTTGACTTGTGACATCTGCAACAAAAATCATCCTGAAATACTTCACATTGAACAAAGAGACATAGGAAGGAAAACCGAATTGGATGGAAAATCAATTGGGAGCAATGCTGTTCTCTCACCTCATACATGTGGGCATATTGGGGCCGGTGAAATAGCCTGTCTCTTCTCTATTGTGCCAGTACAAGTAAAGACCCCCAAGGGAGACACTGTATTGCAGACTTATGCGTTTTTGGACCATGGAAGCTCAGCCACCTTCTGCACAGAAAGCCTGATGAGAAGACTGAATGTAACAGGACAAAAGACTAGTATTCTTTTACGTACAATGAACCAAGTGAAACCTGTGACTAGTCATCATATCCCAGGTTTAGAGATATCAAGTCTGGACAAAACTGATTTCATACAACTGCCCAATGTATTTACACATAAGATCATGCCTGTTTCCAAGCTCAACATTCCCTGACAAGAAGACCTGATGCAATGGCCTTACTTGAAGGACGTCAAGATTCATGAAATAGATTCTGGCATTGACCTGCTCATAGGCACAAATGCTTCTAAGGCATTGGAACCTTGGGAGGTGGTCAATAGCCAAGCCAATGGACCATACGCCGTGAGGACCCTATTGGGGTGGGTCATATATGGTCCTTTGAAAGGAGACAACAGCAGGGATGAGAATGGCTGCCCTGCTGCTGCTGCTGTCAACCGACTGTCCATCGTGAACTTAGAGGAGCTACTGGTTAAACAATACAATCACGACTACAATGAAGAAAGCAGCAAGGAAACAGAGGAAATGTCCAGAGAAGAAATAAAATTCCTGGATATCGTGAATCGCTCATCAAAAATTACAGATGGTCACTATTGCATAGACTTACCTTTTCATGCAAGAAAATCCCCGCATGCCAAGCAACCGTTGCATAGCAGAGCAACGCATCCAAAGCCTGAAACGCAAGTTTGTTAAAAAGGAGATGTTCCGCGAAGAATATACAACTTTTCTCAAAGAAATGGTTAACAACGGCTATGCGGAAAGGATACCAGAGGATCAACTGAATCGTACTGATGGGAAACTCTGGTACATCCCACATCACGGGGTGTATCACCCGAGGAAAGGAACCTTGAGAGTGGTCTTCGACTGAATTGCTACTGGGTCCAGATCTTACCAACTCACTTATAGGAGTACTCCTCAGATTCAGACAAGAGCCTGTTGCCCTGATGGCTGACATCAAAGCAATGTTTCACCAGGTCAAAGTGTCAGACAACCATATTGACTACTTGCGATTCCTATGGTGGCCTGATGGTGACGTGCAGCAGTCGAAAATCGAAAATCGGAAATCGGATGAAAGTACACCTCTTTGGAGCAGTGTCATCGCCGAGTTGTGCAAATTTTGGCACTAAGAAAGACAGCTGAAGATAACCAAACTCACTTTCCAGCAGAGGTTATAGACACCGTAAAAAACAACTTTTACGTAGATGATTGTTTGAAATCCATGTCCACAGAACAGGGCGCTGTTATTATGGTAAGAGACCTGACCACTCTCTGCCAGAAGGGAGGATTCATACTGTCTAAGTGGATCAGCAACAGCCGTAAGGTATTGGCATCCATTCCACAAGAAAACTGAAGCCAGGAAATAAAAGAGTTGGACTTGGACAAGGACAACCTGCCGATGGAAAGAGCACTAGGATTGCACTGGTGCGTTGAGACAGACGTGTTCACGTTCAGAATGACTGCACCCTCACGAGCATACACCAGACGCGGCATCCTGTCCGTGGTTGGCTCTGTATACGACCCTTTGGGATTCCTGGCGCCATTTGTTCTGCCAGCCAAACTGATTATGCAGGAACTCTGTAGAAAACGCCTTGGATGGGATGAAAACATACCCCAAACCATTTCTCAACAATGGACACAATGGCTGACAGATCTAAACAACATGACAGAGTTAAAAGTGGACCGTTGCATGAAGCCCACAAACTTTGGTTAAATTGGACATGCACAGTTACACCACTTTTCAGATGCCAGCGAAAGTGGATATGGTACAGTTTCATATCTTCGACTGGAAAACAATGAAAAGGAGGTGCACATTGCCTTTATGATAGAGAAAGCAAGAGTAGCACCATTAAAGCAAGTAACGATTCCCAGATTGGAGCTCACTGCTGCAGTTCTAGCTGTCAAAGTTGATATATAATACTTCGGAGCGAATT